AGTAAAGAGCTTTGCGAAATTGCCAAAGAGAAAGTATGTTGTATTGCTTGATTGTAAAAGGTAAAAAGATTCTCCTCCTCAAACACATGCGTTTGAGATTGTTTTTATAGAGAAAACATGATCAATGCGGTCATTTACTGCTCATAATCGCATTGACCCGCATTAATCATATAGGTTACAATCAGGGGCGGACGCTAGGCCTGGGCATTCGGTTTATTCGGTTTAATCGGTTCGATTTTTTTGGTTTTTCGGTTTTTTCGGTTATCTAAAATTCTGCCGAATTGAACCGAATAAAAGTTCGGTTCGGTTCGGTTCGGAACTCGGTTTATTCGGTTCGGTTACTGGATTTTAAATCTGATCCGAAATAAACCGAAATTATTTTTTTCTCGGTTAATTCGGTTAACCGAAAATTTTCTTAGCAAAATCAGCCTTTCCATGGGAAAATATCTGACCTAAAAAGCCAGAAGAAGCTGAGTCAAACCATTTGAAAACAAAAAGGAGAAGAAAAGATAGGGGGATTCGAAGTGAGATTGATAATAGAGAAATTGAAAGAAGAAATGTGAGAAGAATATTATTACAATAGGCTATAAAAAAAGAACTAAGAAATGATACAATCAGAGCAAGACTAACAAGCGTTGCAAGAAGAATCGATTGAGGAATTTCTGTAAAATTTTCGCTAGGAGGAGAGGAGAAACGGCTGCCAATAGAAAATATTGATTAGATCTAGGGTTTCTGTTTTATATAAAGGGATGTATAATATATATTGGGCCAAATTAAAAAAACTATTGGGCTTATGGCCTACTGAAATTGATTATATATCCAATTAAAAATGTTTTGATTTTTGGGCCAACGACCATAACCCAAATATAAATAAAAAAATTAAGATTTAAGCCCAAAAACATTAAAATTAATTAGTGTTTTGTACTGTCAACGCGGCGGCTGAGTCTTATTCTTCCTCTTACACACACAGAGATGCAGACGTGAAGAAGAAGATGGAGTGATGAGAACAAAACCGAATAACTGTTCGGTTTCAGCTCGCCGAACCGAACCGAACCGTTACCCGAATTCCCCAAATTATTTTGCCGATCGGTTCATTCCCCTTCAGAGAATTGATGCCGAAAAGCGAAAATTTTGGTTTGTTCGGTTCGGTTTTTCTCGGTTTTTGCCGAATGACAAGGCCTAGCAGACGCAAAGCAAGAGGAAGGTAGACACGTGCCTTATACTATTTTTTTTATTTTCTCTAGTAGTTATTTAAATTAACAAATTTTCTTAAAGAAAAATAAATAGTACCTTAGTCCAACTTCTCCTACTAATACGACAGCTTTTAAATAAACGATTAAGCCTACATTCGTCGACCTAGTTATTATAGAAACAGTTTTTTTTTCACAGAATCATCATCAACCATCGATTCATCAATCATCACCGATTCATCGTTGTCTTTTTTTAATCAAGCCGCATCAAAACAGACGTTAAAAAACTCATGGCCAATGTAAGTGAATTATTTATAATTAACTTCATACTATTGTTAAACACGATTTAGATATTTATATAGAGTAATGAAATCAATTCTAATTAACTACATCAATTTACTCGTTTGATTTATGTATTATGTTCTTATTTGTTTTTGTTTTTCATTCAATAATTTGAAACCCTGATTATATATTATTGATTAATATGTTAATATAATTATTGTTTTACTAGGTACCAATTGACAGATATTTCAAAAGAAAATATCCATCCATGTCTGAGAATGATTTGGAGAATTTGCCTTCTGATCCTGCGGATGGGAAAAGAATACAAGAATACCATCCTAACGAAAGAGATGAGGTACGACGCAAATATCTAATTAGAGGTCCTTATCAACCTCGCGGTCTTGATTTTCCGAAAACACTGTCAGGAAATAAATTGCGGCGATTCAATCCATCTTGGTTTGATCTCTATGGTAGTTGGATGGAATATAGTGTGAAAAAAGAAAAGGCGTTTTGCTTGTTTTGCTACTTGTTTAGAGATTACACTGAAAATAAAGGTGAAAGTGATGCATTTGTGACAAAAGGTTTTGATACTTGGAAAAGTCCCAAAAAATTAGGTGAGCATGTGGGATTAGTGAATAGTTTTCACAATAATGCATTGAAAAGGGTTGATTCTTTGATGAGACAAGGTCAATCAATCGTTCATGCTTTTTATAAGCAAGATCAAGCGGCAAAAAATGAATACAAGATCAGATTGAATGCTTCAATTGATTCGTGTAGATATTTACTGCGGCAAGGATTAGCTTTTCGAGGTCATGATGAGTCTGTGGGATCAGCTAATAGGGGAAATTTCTTAGAGCTTGTGAAATATACTGCAGAGCAAAATGAGCTTGTAAGTAAGGTTGTGTTGGAGAATGCTCCGAAAAATAATCAAATGGTGTCTCCCAAAATTCAGAAAGATATTGTTCATTGCTTCGCAGAGATAGTTATTGAATCTGTTATTCAAGAAATTGATCATGATGTGTTCAGCCTATTGGTGGATGAATCCGCAGATGTTTCTGATAAAGAGCAAATGGCAGTGGTTTTTCGCTTTGTTGATAAAGAAGGGATAGTGAAAGAAAGATTTGTTGGTCTTATTCATGTTCAAGAAACATCTTCTGCATCTCTGAAATGTGCTATTGATTCATTGTTTGGTAGACGTGGATTAAGTATCATGAAGTTAAGAGGACAAGGATACGATGGAGCTAGTAATATGAAGGGTGAATTCAATGGGTTGAGATCTCTGATTTTAAGGGAAAATAGTTCTGCATATTATGTGCATTGTTTTGCCCATCAGCTTTAGTTGGATGTCGTGGCAGTTGCCAAAAAGCATTTTGAAGTTGGAGATTTATTCGATATGGTTTCTGTCTTACTTAATGTGGTTGGAGCTTCTTGTAAGAGAAAAGATATGATTCAAGAAGATCATCGGAGGAGAATCGAGGAAGGGATCAATCAAGGTGAAATTAAGACAGGAAAAGGATTGAATCAAGAGCTTTCGCTTCAAAGACCGGGTAATACTCGTTGGGGTACTCACTACACAACATTACTACGGGTGGTTGATTTATTTTTTTCTATTATTAAAGTGCTTGAGTATATCGAAAGCGAAGGAACTGACGGTACCAAAAGACGCCAAGCTAATGGCCTTCTCAAGTACTTCCACACCTTTGACTTTGTGTTCTACTTACAGTTGATGTTGTTTCTTCTTGGGCTCACGAATAGTTTATCAGTGGCTCTACAAAGGAAAGACCAAGGCATTTTGAATGCTATGTCACTAGTGAAATCTACAAAGCAACAACTATGCAAGCTTAGTGATAATGGATGGGATTCTTTAATTGATAAAGTTTCACTTTTTTGTGAGAATCATAACACTGACTTGGTCATCATGGAAGAAGAATTTGTTGATTCAAGGAAGCCGAGAAAAAGAAGCAACATTACCAACTTGCACCACTATCAAGTGGAATGCTTTTACACTGTATTGGATATGCAAATTCAGGAGTTTAATGACCGTTTTGATGAGGTAAACTCTGAATTACTTGGTTGTGTTGCTTCTTTAAGCCCGGTTGATTCCTTTCATGAATTTGATCAGTTGAAAGTTGTGAGATTATCTGAGTTTTATCCTCAAGATTTTAGCCCAATCGAGCGGATATCTCTCGAACACCAGCTTGGTATCTACATCGACAATATCCGGGAAGATGAAAGATTTGCTAATTTGAATAGTCTTGGAGATCTTTCACGTGTGATGATGGAGACAAGAAAACATCTTTCACATCCTCAAGTTTATCAACTTTTGAAGCTAGCTTTGACTTTACCTATTGCTACTGCTACTGTTGAAAGATGCTTCTCTGCAATGAAGATTGTGAAGAATACCTTACGTAACCGAATAGGTGATCAATTTTTAAGCAATTGTTTAGTTTGTCTTATTGAAAAGGAATTGTTTGAGAAAGTGACGAACGAAGAAGTGATGAAAAGGTTCCAATCTATGGAAGAACGTAGGATGCATTTGTAGAATTTTTTTTTTTATTGTAAGACTTATTTTTAATAGTATTTTATTTTCTTCAATAGATTTATTTATATAATTGTGCCTAGGACTAAAAAATGTTCTAGATCCGCCACTGGTTACAATTTGACCGAAACGGCTTGAATTTGAACTATCTTGGGCTTCGCGTGGATCTTCCGAACTCTTTCTTGTTGACTCCGAACTCCCGCGTCTTGACGCTGCCGCAAACCTCGAACAATATTCTCCTCGCTTCGGCCTTTCTCTGTGCGAGCTGTATGCTGAATAAGAGCGAACTCCGTACTGGTAAAGATCGAGCTCTTTAATAAACTGAATCGAACCTCCGGCTGGTCGAGCTCGATTCTCCTAATGAAATACCTAGAAATCCAAGAGTATTATTATGTAATAATGACGTGGACAGATCCAAATGGATCCTACCGAAAGTGTGTGGGATACGACCCCAACATTTAGCCCCCCAAGTCTTGCGAGCTGAGTGCTCGGCTTGGAAGACTTAAGTAGATAGTAATTAATGACTCGAGATTTTTAACACTCTGGAATTTCTCCATGTCTTACGCTGTTACGCCGATCTTGGATAATCAGATGATTTGATTTCCCTGACAATCGTGATCATTAATTTCCTAATTTTATATTAATACCACGGGAAAAACTGTCCCACTTCCTAATATTCTCGAGGAGGTCTTTCATCATACTTTAGGGCTCTAAGAGGTAATATTACTTTTCCATCTTATCTTCTTTACCTAGAAAACCTTCATCCTTATTACAGAAGTCACTGTTTTCTTTCCGGTAAAAAATCCCTGTCGAACCTTTCTTCCGAATTCCGCGAATACGAGGCTGACGATCTCGAAGCTCTCATGGGTGAAGGATCCGAATCCCAGATTCAAACCGGAGATGGGTTTGATCTTCACCCCCAGAGTGAATCAACTATCGATTCTCTCAACAATCTTCGTAAATTATGATTCATCCCCCCTGAGGTAGAGATGGTAGTCCCGGAGCCCTTCGAGTCTCCGGAGTCGGGGCGAGAAGGTTACTGCTATGCCTATGAAATTTATTTCAAAGGGTGCGGCTTATTCCTTCCCCTTCCTGAGGTGCTTCTTGTCTACCTCAATTATCTGGGAATTGCTTTCTCCCAGATGTCGCCCAACATGCTCCGGTATCTTTTGTGTACCCTCACTGTTGCGGCGGAGGCGGGCTACTCATTGGGACTTTGCGAACTCCTGGAACTTTTTCAAACTCGCGAATCCCGAACTTCTGGGTATTATACCTTTTATCCAAACGCGGATCGGAATCTCATTGATGGCCTTCCTTTAAAGAACACCGCCTGGAGGAAGTTTTGGTTCTTCTTCCGCATAAATAATTTTTCTATTCAAAGTTCTTCCGAACTCCCTCGAAGTCACTGGTCATCGAATTTTGGTAGAAACTAGGACTTAATTGAATAGATTTCTTATGCCACTTCAAAACTGCGTTTCAACATTTCGATGTTTTCTTGCAGGTCCCAAATTCGACCGGCCCCATCAATCGATTTTCTCAATTTCTACAAGGCCGTCTTGGAGAGGCCAGTTAATTGTAATTCCTTCACTTTGGAAAGGATTCACGGTGCCGGATTTTCTGTTAGAATGGGCCTAACTAAACCCGTCAACCCTCCTCCTGCTGGGATTGATCTCTCGAGTCTGAATGCTCGAGACAGGAGAAAATTTAAAGAAGCAAACAAGAGAATCAAAGATCAGATTTCTGTAATTGGGAGAGACAAGAAAAACGCAACTTCCACCGGAGACGATAAAGTCTACCGGAAAACTCTCCTGGTTGACGATGGATCTCTTGAAGGTTCAAAGTCAATGGAGGTTGCTGTGAGCAATGCTTCTCCCTCCATCCCAGCAGCAGACGTCGTGGTTGCTGCTACCGCTGAGGAGGAAGGCCTTGCAAGTGATTCTTCTCTCATGAAGAAAAGGAAGGCCGAAGAACTCGAACCCCTCCCCAAGGGACGTCCCAAGAGCATAAGGAAGGGCAGAATCGCTCCTTTGAATCTGCCAATTCATGAGCTTGCTGAAGCTCAGGATGCAAATCCTGATTCAGGAACTTTTTCGAAGGAAACGCTAGGTTCAGGGATGCTACTCCCTAGACGCCCCCGAGGTAATACTTCTAGGGTTCGATCATCTCCGAGCTCGGGACTGGTTGCTAGAGCTTTGTCTCAAGCAGGTAACCTTTAATTATCACTTTGTTGTTTGAGATTAATAGATTCTTTTTCCAAAGAAAACTCAATTCTCACACAACTAACTTTATTCCAGACAAAGAGAAGATCGGGAATATGTTTAGGTGCTTCCACACCCGTGCTGGGAAAAAGCTTCCATCCTTTGATTGGTGGAAACCTGATGTTAAGAGGATGTACATTAGTCACTCATTCCATTCCTCCCAGGTTTGACTACTTGCATCCTTGGACAACTGATTTCGATTCATTCATTTTTTTTTTAAACGAATCTTCTTTTATTAGGCAACTCTGGATGTGAATGGCATCGTGAACTTTTACGAAGAGGAGCTCGCCAAAGTTTCCAAGAAAGTTGCTGCCGCTGAAGGAGAGATTGAAAAACTGCAATCTTCCAGGAAGAGATCGATAGACTCGAAAGATACGGCGAGGAGACAAGGAGAACTTTGATTGAGACAGAGCAGAAGCTAGAGACTGCCCTTGCTGATCATAACTTCGCAAAAGGCGAGATTGAGCTTCTGAGATCAGAGCTTAACAAGGTTAAAGCAGCTGCTGAGGAGCTCGAACGCAAAAATGAATTTTTTTCCGAACAGAAAGATCGCGATGTTCGCAAAATATCTCATGATGCTCGGAGGAACAAGCTCAACCCCGAACGCGATGAAATGAAAAGCAATCTCGATTTGATCAAAGAGATAGAGGACGGAAAAGTCAATTTGGCTGAAGAGAAAGAGACGGTTGGTGCTGAGCTAGCTGAGACTGTAGCTAAGCTAAATACCGCTCCTCAGCCATATCTGAATTTGCAACAGTTTGCTTATGAATTCGCTGATTCCCCTCCATTGACCGAACCAAACATTGGTTCGTCTTTGGACGAGATGGTGTTAACCGGTTCTCCTCGCGCTCATTTTAATGAGTTCGGAACCAATGTTGACAGAATCTCCTCGGGATGAGCTCAGGGGCTCTCTGATCAGGGGCTTGTCATCTCTTCGATTATGGGAGACGGTATTGAATCGAGGAACGAGACTTCTCTCGATGTTAGCTCGCTTAACCCTGAAGTGGTTCTCGTGACTCAAGACGATGACGTTGGGGGTGCTCTTGTCTCAAGTCAAGTAAGGGAAGAAGGCGGTTTGCCTGTGAATGAATGATGGTGATTACATTCACCTTATGTGGGGTTTGTCCCTTTAATTTAAAGACATGAAATTCGCTTTATTGGCCATGGGGTCGTTTGTTTCTTTTCCAAATTTTCTGCCCGAGGGGGCTTTTATTACTGTTTTGAATAATTTGCCCAAGGGGGTTTTCGATTAAAATTTCTTTTGGAAGAAATATTTAATCTTGGTGGAAACCATCGATTTTACCTAGAGGGTTTGCAAAGTCCTCCTAATCGAAGTGGTTCAGGATTATAGGAGAGATAGGCTGATCAGACCTACTTGCCTTTTTTAAAGAAAAAACAGTGGAATTTTTCCTCGGTCTCTCGATTGCGAGGTTAGAGCTCGACTTACAAGAAAACTTTGCGATACTTCAAATGTGTTTGATTAGGGAAATCTCTAGTGAGAACTGTTTGCTTTCCCTAAGAGATAAAAAGGTGTGATACCATTTATTGATTGTCTTCGAATTTCGAGTTCGAAATTAAGTTCGCCTACTAGGCGTTAAGTGATACTTGAATAACCTATATTTCGTAGGTCTTATTTGTGCATGTACACGAGAATCGAGAGGTCATAACAGTCAGATCAATAGATTGACGTTTAACTTTCTTTTTCAATAAATACTCGAGTAAGTACCCTTACATATTTTTTCTATATAAGGAGAGCTGGATTTTGGAAATCTTCCAATAGATTTTTTTTATAAAGAACTTTGTAATTCTTCTTTTTTAGATCAAAGATGACTTCTAACCAAGGCGAACCTTCCGGTCCTAACTCACCACGATTCCCCTCAAGCGAATCTCTGTTCCCGTCGGCGGATGGATTCACTCCACAAGGGGTGGCTATTCCTTGTTTTCTTTCTTCCCTGTCTAGGGAAGAACAGATCGAGTGCCATGAATTCATGGAGCAGGTTTGAACCAAATACCAATGGTTTCAAGGTTTTACTTGATAGATTCGTAATGTATATGTTCTTTGCAGATCACGGAAAGATACGTTTTCCTCTGCTCCAAAAGGCAACGCCTCGGAATGAAACGCCGTAATCTCGAGGACCGGATTGCTAGAACAGAAAGGAAGATCCGATGTTTGGAGTCGGACGTTCACAACTGGGAGAGGAGGGGATTTGATTCTATCGCGCACATTCCCGGCTGTCTTCGAGAACACATCAGGTTCCTGAAGAAGCATTGGGATGTCTACCAAAGGAGCCTCGAACCCGACAAACGTGAAGATGGTTCGTCATCAGACGAAGTTCCTTCTGCGAGCCCCCCTCCTTCTTAGTATTATTATGTAACATACTATTGGGCTAGAGGCCCAGCAATATTAATTACATTTCCCTTTTGCTTTAAATTTGCCGATTTATTCAAATCTTATTTAATGCGTTTAATCTAGAGAATATAACTAGAAATTAACTCGATTACATTTACCATGAAAATCGTAATTTCAGATTTGGGAAATCGTCAATTAATCCTCTTAAATACAATCGAATAGTTTTTCGAATATAAAATGGGTGTAGTTTGTCATTGAATTTCAACAACGATTCTACAAAAATGTTTGAGGAAGGAAATTCTTCAGATTTGTTAAAATTGATGAGCACTGATCCTTCGAGGACGTCGGACATCGAGCTTATAAAAGCAGGAGAATCTGGCGAACCAAAAGATTCACAAACGTTGAAGAAGGGTACCAGCATTCGGGTTCCGATCGTTTTAATCGAGAGATTGTCGCCTCAAGATCGTGTTAAGGCTGAGGAGTTTATCAATATGGTATTCTCCATCCTAGTGATTAACTTCTTTTTGTTATTGCTAAATGTAGCGTTTTATTTTCTTCAGCTTATCACTCGGCAAGATGAGCTCGAAGATGGGAAGAAAAAGATTAGGAGACGGATAATGGAGCTAGAGAAGCGTCGCCTCGACATATCTCGCGAGCTTCATCGCCTCGAAGCCCATCCTTCCGATTGGATCGAACTAGGACTTCAGGAGTACGGAAACATGCAAGGTTGCATTATGAGCATCGTTGACCTCGCAGGTCAAGGAGCAGAGTTATTCCGTAATTCAAGACCCTTCTGAGTCTGAGTTTAGCTGGAAATACTTATTTATACATTGTTTGCAATGTACTCTATATTCAATCCCAAGGATAAGAATAATATTCCATGATTTGAAATAATATTTTAATTTTTATATTATAGCTGGACTCGTTTTTAGCGAGCTGCCTACGTACCTAAAATAGGATCAAGCCAAATCGTAGTTCAAATGTGTTTGCTTTAGCAATAGAACTTTTTCAAGTTGATTATGTTCCAAGGCCTCTGAACGGGGTTTCCGTCAAGGTCTTGTAAACGGTATACACCGTTTCGGATTTTTTCAGTGATTTGATAAGGGCCTTCCCAGTTAATACCGAGTTTTCCAGCGCCTTCTTCTTTTGTGTTATCGAATACTCGCCTTAAAACGAAGTCTCCTACATTTAAAGGTCTGTTTTTAAACTTTGAGTTATAGTATCGAGCGGTCAACTGTTGATAATTCTGAAGTTGAATAAGGGATTGATCTCGCCTTTCATCGATTGTATCGAGAACATCTTCTAATAATTTAGAATTCGACTCCTCGTTAAGTGGAGCTTCACTCCGGCGCAAACCTGGAACATTCAGCTTGGCTGGGACTACGGCTTCCATCCCATAAATTAATGAGAATGGAGTTTCACCGGTTGCTCGCCTCGAGGTTGTTCGATAAGCCCACAACACAGGTTGCAGCTCGTCGTACCATCCACCTTTTCGAGCGTTCAAGCGTTTTTTAAGATTGCTGAGAATGGTTTTGTTGGAAGCTTCCGCTTGTCCATTTCCTTGAGGATACCTTGGTGTTGAGTAGCTAAGTTTTATTCCCCAAGCGGAACAAAAATCTTCAAAGTCATTTGAAATGAATTGAGGACCATTGTCCGTTACTATTTCGTAGGGAACTCCATAGCGACAAATGATGTGTTTCCACAAAAATGTCTTTACTACGGAATCATGTATGCTTATATAAGCTTCAGCTTCAATCCATTTGGAAAAATAGTCTGTTAGAACTAATAAGTACTGGACGCCTCATGTTGAACGATGCATCGGACCGACTATATCCATTGACCAAATCATGAAGGGGTATGGAGCGGATATAGATGATAGAATTTCAGATGGCTGGTGAATAAGGGGAGCGTGCATCTGACACTTTTTACACCGTTTGGCGTAATCAATGCAGTCTGAAATCATAGTTGGCCAAAAATATCCTAACCGCTTGATTTTGAAAGCCATTGCTCGCCCCGAAGAATGACTACCACAAAGCTCTTCGTGGACCTCGCTTGTCACTATTTCAACTTCGGGTCCGAAAATACATAAAAGATAAGGATCACTGACGCCTCGCTTGTACAATGACTCTTTAATTATACAATACTTAGCGCTGATGATTTTTAATTTGCGAGCTTGCCATTTGTTAGATGGTAGTTCTCCATTAAGAATGAAATTTTTGATGGGTACCCTCCAGTCAGCCCCCCAATCATTAGCGGAAGTATTATCCTTGAGTATAAACTTCCTTGGTTCGGGTTCGGAAAGAATATCAGGATCTTCGATTGTCTCCTGAAGCTCTACATCAGCTGGAAATGACTGTTCGGTTCGAGACGGTTCTTTAATGGGAACCTCTTGATCCTTTGATTTTCTTCTTGGCTTTCTTTTAGGAAGTTCCAGTGGTGGAATAAGTTCGTCATCTTGAGACTTTATTCGTGATCTGGTGACGACAAACGAACTACTTTCATTTCCGGAACTTGGTTTTGGAGTTTCGAAATGTTCGGCCTCCAAACTGTTATCGTTTTCTGTTTCTTCAACCGAAATACTTCGCGAAGAAATACATTCAAATGGGATTACTCGTCTGAGTTCAGGATCTGAGGTAGAAGCTAGGGCAGCCAAAGCGTCTGCCGAAGTGTTTTCTCCTCTAGGAATTTGAATTCTTTGAATTTTCCGGCTAATTTTTTGACAGCCGAAAGATAAGGATCCATTCGAGGAGCCTTAGCTTCGTAATCTCCAGCGAACTGGTTTACAACTAGCAGAGAATCGCAATAAGCTATTATTTTTTCTGCTCCAATTGCGAGAGCAAGCCGAAGTCCTGCTAAGAGAGCTTCGTATTCCGCTTCATTGTTCGAAGCTGGAAACATTAATCGAAATGATTGCTCGATTATTTCCTTTGTCGGAGTTTCGAGCCTAATACCGATTCCGGATCCTTGTTTAGAAGAAGATCCATCTACATGTAATTTCCATGTAGAGTCCGTTTCAACAAAGATTCCATCATCAGGTGGCAGTTCGGTTAGAAAATCAGCTAGAACTTGTGCTTTTGCGCTAGTTCTGCTTTTGTATTCTATATCGTACTCACTAAGTTCGATTGCCCATTTTGCCAATCTTCCGGACTGACTTGGACCGTGAAGAATTGATCAAAGTGGATGAGAAGTTAAAACTTCTATTGGATGAGATTGGAAATAAGGTCGGAGTTTAATTTCTAGCAGATATCACTACTGCTAAAGCTAATTTTTCCATCATGGTATATATCGTTTCTGGGCTAGTAAGAGATTTACTTATGTAAAAAATTGGCTTTTGTTCACCTCGGTCCTCTCGAACTAACACCCCACTCACGGAATGGTTAGAGACTGAAATATAGAGATATAGTTTTTCATATGATTCAGGTTTTGAGAGAATCAGTGGTGTCGTTAGATAAGTTTTGAGTTGACCAAATGCTGCTTCGCATTGATCATCCCACCGAAATTTTTTGTTCCCTTTCAAAATTTGATAAAAGGGGAGACATTTATCCGTAGATTTTGATATGAAACGATTTAATGCAGCAATTCTGCCTGTCAATCGTTGGACTTCCTTAATGTTTCTTGGCGAAGGCATAGTGAGGAAAGCATTAATCTGATTAGGATTTGCTTCTATTCCTCGTTCCGTGACTATGTACCCCAGGAATTCTCCGGAAGGCACGCCAAATGAACATTTAGCTGGATTTAATTTCATTCTGAACTCGTTCAGAATTTTGAAACACTGTTCGAGATGTGTGATGTGCTCGGATTTCTTAAGAGATTTTACGAGCATGTCATCTATATAAACTTCCATCGTTTTTCCCAACTGTTCTGCAAACATTTTGTTAACTAAACGTTGGTATGTTGCCCCAGCATTTTTTAAACCGAATGGCATAATTTTATAACAGTAGATTCCTCTATCTGTTATGAAGGATGTTTTCTCTTCATCTTCGAGATTCATCATGATCTGATTATATCCAGAAAATGCATCCATAAATGTTAAGAGTTCGTTTCCGGCCGTTGATTCTACGAGCCGATCGATATGAGGGAGGGGAAAGCTGTCTTTTGGACATGCTTTGTTAATGTCAGTGAAATCGACACATACTCTCCACTTTCCATTTTTCTTTTTGACTACCACGGGATTTGCTAACCAGTCCGGATATTTCACTTCTCTGATAGAACCAATTTCTAAAAGTTTATCAACTTCGTCATTGACCGCTTGTGCTCGGTCAGGACCAAGTTTTCTTCTTTTTTGTTTTATTGGTTTAAAACTGGGATCGACATTTAAATCATGGGTGATAATACTTTTGTCGATTCCGGGCATATCTTTTGCCGACCAGGCGAAAGTATGTTTATTTTCTTTTAGAAAAGTTACCAATTGATCTTTGATTTCTGAACCCAAAGAAGTACCGATTTTTACTTTTCGATCCGGAAATTTGGGATCAATTTCAATCTCTGTGGTAACTTCATTCGGGCTAAGACCACTTGGGTAACGCGAGGTGCTCTCTTGCTTCGTGTTTATCATTAATTGCTATTTGAGCTTTAAACGATGTCCCATGAGGTAGCAAGATCGCGACGTTTCCTGATCTCCTCGAATGGTTCACGAGTTCGGCCGTCGAACTCAACCACCACCTCGGTTAGCCAAAGAGAAACTAGGTTTTCCTTTGGTGGACCTTGCATTTAATTTTGGCCCAACAAGCTTTAGAGGACCCAAGCCCATGAGATGTGAACCAACTTCATTGTTCAACAAGCCTAGGTCTGCTACTCTTTTCACTTTGTCGAGCCTTAAACAAGAGTCGTGTCGTTCTCTCACTTCGTATGGCCGAGGACACCATCGATTGGAGAAATCACTTCCATTGTTCGGGTTTTACTTTCAACATCTACAAATCCTGGTAACATCTTCATCTATGGGTGTGAATTCTAAAAGCTTAAGGAACTCTGGTATTTTGATCCCGAATCTAAATTATCGGAGGCTTGAAAGTGGTCTTGGAAGTTCTATACCTAAGTACCACTCTCCCACAATTTCATATATCGACCAGAAGCACTACTTGATTGTTATTGCTCACAAATTTTTGAAGTCTCATGATACATTAGCCATGAATTCAAACGGCCAACGAATTGCTTATGGTCTTGGTAGCTATTTGGCCAATAGTCATTCCTTGACAATTCTATATAGCGACTTCAATCACCACCCTTTTGCCAACTCCTCGAATGCCTGGACCCTATCATGGTATGTTTATCTTCTTCATGTGTCAAACCTAAGACAAGCTTTGTGTGGAATGCTTAATCTCCATGGACAAGGTATCCATGTGAGAGAGGATCCACCTGTTTCGTTACAGTTTTACACCTATCACTTTATGAATCCTGGCTTTAACTTCACATGTCCCCATCACCTGGATCTTATGCTTCAAAGGTTATTCTGCGAATTCTCGAAGAGATCTAAACCTTATGCTTTGGTTGTAAAGCAATCCTCAATCGACTACATCACCATAGTCTTCCGAATCTTTGTTGTCGCGCTACTTTGGGTAGTTCATCTTGCTCCGGCGAGAATCAATGCATCGATTCTTTCATCAACGTCACAAAGTCTCATGACCGTGACCATTCTCTCGTCCTTCGAATCTTTCGAGGATGATCTCTCGATTAACCATGATCTCACATGTGTCAATGTGCTCCCAAGCTCTTGCCTCACAGCTCTCTTGGTTTCAAAATCGATGAACTTTATCTATCTTCTTATGGCATTGGGGAATGTCTTCTATTGTACCACTTTAAACTTTGGATCACTTAAATCCTTCTTTTTGTACTTGTTCTTGTTTGGATGAATGAAAGCAAGTGTTTTGACAAAAAAAAAAAAAAAAAAAAAAAAAAAAAAAAAAAAAAAAAAAATTATTTATGGTTTAATTGAAAATAAATTTTTTAAAAATTACAATGCCAAGTGGATCAATAAGAAAAGAATAAAACATTACTATCCTTTATTTTATATCATAAAGTCTGTACAAAATCAGTGGATCCTTTATATCATAAAGTCTGTACAAAATAAATGGATCTAGGATCCACTGATTTCTACTCCACCCATTTATACTGGGCCTACTACTATAACGAATTTAATGCTACTATATCACTGCACCCTCAAGCATCTTTTTTTTGTTTGGTCGAATATACGAAAAAATTGATTGACTCGTCAAATTTAAAATAAAATGATAGGTCAAACCCCTGTTCTAAAAATCCCTGTCTAGCCCCGATTACTCCCCGCTTAATCGCTAGACCCACCCTATCCGCCTCGATTAATGACTAATCCCCTAAAAAATCAGTAATCCGATTATTCTCCGCCTAATCCGATTACTTCCCGCCTAATCTTATATACCCCGATTATTTTTTAGATTGCAAGTATAAAAAACTTTTTATTTTTGTTATTCAATCATTTGAATGGAGAGTTTGTGATGTTTTACAATAATTTGTGTTCAAATTATTATAAAAATCATAAATTTTTACAATATTGGATTAATATATTTTAAAAATATTAAAATAACCCTAAAACTAATCCCCGATTAATCCCCGATTTTAATCCGATTTTCCGATTAATCGCTAGGCCCATGCCGAGCGCCCGACTAGCGCCTAGCGATTTTTCAAACAATGGGTCAAACCGAAGAAAAGAAAGAGAGAAGAAAATTTTGAGAAGGCTGAGCCACCCAGGCACCCACAGATTTGGGATAGTGGTAAAAAATCAAAACTTTGAAAGCAATTCATTGTATTCAGAAGAATTTCAGAGTAACAAAAAATAGTTCTTACAATTTTTTTTATCTTTAATATCTCGTTGTGGGAATGTAATAGCGGACAATCTGGCACGCAAAATTAGCACCGAATCGCTTCATATCACCTATGTAAACAACATTCTTCAGAAATTGCTCTTGAGTTATAATTAATTTTGGATGACAAAAAAATAATAATAGATTAATTACTTCATTAAATAGAAATAGTATGAAACATGTTTTTATTAAAAATAGTTGCATTTCTTAAATAGTAAAGACTTCGCACAGAATTGAAATAAACAACAATTTCATAGTAATAAATAATATTTAACGTTACAAATTACAAATTGAACCAATAAGCAGAATCAAGAACATCAGCCCACAGGAAGAAGTCAGTGGGTTTTTAAATTTCAATTATGAGGGCATGGACTTTTCTATTAGAATGTCATATCTCTACACTATATATACCATATACGTATTGATTCTCATTTCTTACACATAACAAAACTATATAAAAAAAAATTATATTGATTATTTTCCTGAAGGTTTTCTAGCTACGGAGTAGAAAGGATCAACTGACATGGGGCGTTGGGTGAGACCTGAGGTTAGGAAAAATTATTTTATAAAATATGCAAACATTCCCATGATCAAATAATTATTATAACTAAGGTGAGAAATAAAGAAATTAATCTAATCTTAGTTTAGCTTTAACATAAAATCAAATTGTTACGGCTATTTTAATATTATGACCGGATTGTTTAGCATATTTTTCCAGAACCAGATGAATTTGCTGGTTTTACTTTTGTAATTTTTTTTTTTTTCTGATTTGGACAACACATCATGATATGTTATTCTAAAAGTGCGATTGATATATATATAAAGAGGATAATCAAATATATTTGGTTTTATGATAAGAATAGTAAAATACCGATACATTGATTTATTTTTTTTAATATAAATTAAACGAACAATTTAGGTATACCCTCTTCTTGGAGCAATGGGATTTGTGACAACTATGGTTGTGTTCCAACTCACAAGAAACGCATTGTTAAACCCTGACTGCAGGTTAGTCTTGTCTTCGTCGAATTCATTATTTTATGGTAAATATATGTTACTTTTCTTAATATGTAGTTTAGTAAAACGCATGTCATGAAAGATGTTTAATTACATTGTCAAAAATGAAAAATGGATAACCATTTTCCTTAATTAACTGAGGTACGTACTTGTTATAGGTGGACAACAACAATAAGTTTAATCGTATTCGAACTTTAATATAATTAATTTATGACTAAAGTAACTATTTTAATATTTATATACTAGGATATGACCCGCGGTACACCGCGGGTTAATTATTTGATTTTTTTATTTTTATAAATTGATGAATTTATTGTGTATAATATTTTTTGTTGTATACCGCGGGTAACATGCGTTGTATCTAAAATAAAAAATTTTAAGTTGTATTTGTTTTGTTTAGTGTTGTTTAAGATTGTATAATTGTATTTTGATTTGTTATTTATGGGATTTCACCTGTGGTATATTGTCTCGTATTAATATTGACCCAACCCGTCCAACCATATAGTCTAAAATGAAATTAAACATCATTTTGTTATTTTTTTAATAACACTTTTATTTTAATGTCATATAATTCGAGTTAATTTGAAAGTTGCTTTCAAATAGTTTCCATGTATATTTTTAAATTAGTGTGTGTTTTTGGACCAACCCGTAAAAACAATTTATAATTGTATCTTAAAATACTAATTAGGATTTCACCCGTGATATACTGTCCCATTTTAGATAATTGTAAAAATTAAAGAAAGATCCGAATGACTCAATTTCGGGTCTGAATAAAATAACGACATGATTAAATGCTCAATTTGTTCTTAAAAATGTTAATATAGATTACACATATTTTTATTCATCGATTGAGTAATATATGTCCGTTTTAAAAAATTTGAATTGTAACATATGCAGAAAAAAAAACTAAAATTTACTAACTATTTATATATTTTATAATAATTTAAAATAATATAAATATAAGATCAAATAAAAGTGAAATAAGAATCATATATTTATGTTTAAATTAGGTAGAGAGGTTTTAGGAAATTAGTGCAAATTTGTTATATTAGCATTAAATCATCATATTTGATTTCTTTATCTATAAAAATCGTGGAGAATATATCATAAATAAAGCGTTTAAATATAGTAATTAGTTGAGAAAGTATATATATTTTAGATTTTATTAATTATTTTCGTTTTTTAATTTTGCCAAAATTTAAGGAAAGATCCGATTGAAGATTTCCGGGTCAAAATTAAATAAATTTGACCTGATTTGGGTATCCCAAAAACTGCTGCAAAAATGTATAGTAAATTTACAAATGCTTGTTGTTTTATAAAACATTTGACAGAATAAATAAAGAGCATAGAAAAATGGGAATTCTTGAAAACGAAGACGAAGGAGAAAAATATGCACAACACAATTTTCGCAAGTATCTAAGGACCCGTCAACCTCAAGTGATGCCTTCACTCAACCGTTTCTTCTCTCAAGAGGACAACTAAATCTTATTACCTTATCATGAATTAATGTTTCAGATCCTCGTTTATAATGTATCTCTAAATAAAAGGTTGAAACATGTGTCCCAAATCGCTTTAAAAAATCAAATAAGTGAACTATGGTTCACATGTTGTTGCTAAGCAAGTTTGATAGTGGCAATCCCAAACTGGTCCACGCACGGTTCATGTCTTGATATAAGAACTAGGCATGTGACTTTAGACCGAACGGTTCAGTTCGGCTTGACTAGTCCATTTTTCGGGTAATTTGGTTAAGAGGTAAGCCTACCGAACATAACCAAACAGAAAGTCGATTGGCATGGTTTCATTAATTTAGTTAGGTTGTCCGTACAAAAACTCGTTTCGGTTTGGTTTAGATAGCGATTTTTATTAGAGCACTCATAACAAAACCAAGAATATGAGTTTATGATATTTGTAAAGCCCTACACAAGCCCATTAGATCTAAGTAGGTTCGTATATATAGTCTTTTGTAATGAACATCAATGTGTTAACTAATTGTCTCAAAACAACTCTACTCTTTTACCTGTTATGAAATCAAATTAAGAATCATTTGATCTTGGTGACAATCTTAAGAGCTTTCCCTTTCTTTACTTTCTTTGCACAATAAAGCTCTTCATGAGTTATTCAAGTCCTTAGTTTATTTCTATCTTAATAAGCTCATTACAATATTTTCCTTTATATTGCATATAATCTTTTGAATTATATAACCTTCGTAAACAATTATAAGTTTATAATAAAATACAAATAAGTAAAAGTATTTTAAAATAAAAAGGTTGGATCACTAAACTGCTTTGTTTTTAAAATTGTTTCAAACGTGCTCTGTTTTTAAAAAGGTTGGATCACTAAACTGCTTTGTTTTTTTCTTCATACAAAAAAAGCCGTTGAATAGTATTTTTATTTAAAACTTTATTGTGAAAGTCTTGACATAGTAAAAAAGATTAGATATATTCTATATCAATATAATACGTTAAGATAAAAAGGCTTTGCACCTAGAAATTCAAGATATTTTATTATACTATCGGTTTCGAAACAATTGAGAATAATGTCTAGTTAAAATATGTACAAGAAGAAAACTTGAGGCACTCACTTGGAAACATAATGCAGCACTAACCAAAAATCATACATATAAATGTTACTTCTATCGCAAGGGAAGTAAGAAAACCTAACTTGGGCCACAAGGTCTGTACAAAGTCTCCAGACCTTATCCAGAACTGTGAGCAAGGGAGTGAGAAAAGAAGTGTTCATGAAGCTCTTAGAACAGTTTCCCAAGCACCGTACTTGGAGCTGAAAGTGCCTCCACCATGTCGCTCTGCGTACTCAACCATTGTCGCTCTCGCACAATCATTCCACGTTTTAGCTATTTCTTTCAGTGACCCTGGTTCTGAAAGTTCCGTCATGGACAAACTGAACCTTGATCTGGTTCTCGCCGATAGATCCTCATACTTGTGTACACTAAAACACGGCGATAAAAACCCTTAAGATCTTATATGTTTTGTCCAACCCTTGTTAATTGATTTCTAAGAAAGTTTCATACCTGGTGTCAAAGGGAAAATCCTCGAGAAGTATCGGGGAACTTAATGGATAATCCATAGGAACTAGTAAGCGTAACGGTTGAATCTGTGACTGCATGAAACATTGGAGACATCAAAAAGCTGAACATAGGGAGAAAAAGAAGAAGTTTGGAGAGACTTACTATTTTTCCTGACTTGTAATGATCTTTGAAGGTAGCACTGAGAGCCACAGGAGAATAAGTACACGTCACGATTGTTCCTGAAGCATCCTCATCGCATATCTCTACCACTGTCTCGACAAGTCTCCCGTTTGTTTCTTTGATTTCTTGCAAAAGGGCACAACCATGCTGCAAGATTGAAAACAAAATGGACTTATTTCGATGTTTCATTTGCTTTCGTAGTTCGATAAAACAGAGGAAATTACAGGCTGTAGATTTTACCGCAATATTGTTAACTTTTGAGCCAGATGACGCTGTGGAATCGACTTCAGATTCAAGGCTACTGAACTGTTCATAACTATCAATTTGTGATGACATATCCCGCGGCACAATGCTGACTGAGCGCTTCATTCTTTTAGACGGATTTGTTTCTTCGTGTGTCGAAAAGTTTCTTGTCCTCTCACTCAAATCTTCGCCTAAACCAGCTCGTGATCCTCCACCGGAATGGAATGATCCTGCAAACCTGTCAACCATACTGATGACCGCGCTAATCTCACTTACAGATTCTGCCAAGGATTTTGGTGATGCTGCTTGAAACTAAAAAAGTCACAAATATCAACAATTTGATCAGTAAATTGGATATGCTATACAGTTTATGATTTCTTTACTTACCGCTTTTATCAGTCGATCAATAGGCCGCTCCGTGATTGGCTCGGGAGGAACAGATAACGGAGGATGTTCCTCTGTGCCAAGTTTAGAAGAAGAATCTAAAGTTGATTTTATTTCAACACCAGAAACTGGAGACTCAACAGAAATAGGCATTTCAGGATCCCCGGGAATCGGAGATGGAGCAACAAAAGGCGAGCCACCAGACATCAATGGAGTTTCGGTTTTGTTAACCGCAGGAAGAATCTGCTGGTCAACTAACTGAGGAGAAGAGTGGTGATGTATCTGAGGGGATGAAACGTTAGACTGTGGCTTTGGAGCCTGGCGCGGACTAGATGAGACTTGTTGCTGAAGCAACCCGGCTTTAATGTTGACCCTCTGCCTCATCCTCACATCATTCATCTCATTTGTCTGTTGTGATGTCGGTATTTGATGCTGCTGATTCGCTAGTTGTGGTTGTTGTAACTGTTGTTGTGGTTGCATTTGGCGATGATGGAATTGCTTCTGCTGCTGCAACGACTGAACCAAACTGATATTTGATTGTACGGCCTGCTGATTCTGTTTACCAGAAGGTAACATGACACTTCCTGAAGAAGCCATAATGTTGTTCTCATCTCTTGGTTCCAGCTTAGGCCTTGTCTGCAACGAGTGAGGCATTATCGAAGACGAGGCCGCAGTTTGGCTAATTGGCATCAGCCGCGAGCTCATTTGATCATTATCAAGAGACTGCGACACATGGACTTGAGGACTTTGGGATTGCAATGCCGTTTGGTGGCTCTGAGAAGGAGGAAATTGCCCTTGTTGCTGCTGCGTTGGCCTCGGAACCATGGTATGACTCTTGGTAAACTTCAATATGTGGTTCTCAAATAGACTAAACTTGTCTCTATGCTTCTCTGATACAGTGCTCTTATGAACATTTAAGAAAAATATAAGTTGTTCGATTGACGATTTTCCCGCCTTTAGCTTTTCAATTGACTGAGATTGCAACTTCTGTGGCGGAAGAGATTCAACCTGGAAACAAAAAGAGATTAAGAAGAGACATGAAATAAATACAAGAACTTTCTTGTCCCGGAAATGAAACAACTAGGTTATGATTTATGAATGAAGTACCTGCCGCAATTTTTCCTTAACTCTTTGGAGCATTAGACTCAGAACAGGTAAATACATCTCTTTCAGGTGTTTTATCTGCAAGACGTATCATAATGGCATTATTAAAACAGGAAAATGTTTAAAAGTTTGAATAAGGCGAGCGAAGATACCTTCTGATAAGTCTCCTCCTGCCAGTCCCCGGCATTGGCATTTACCGTCTTTCCTGTAGAATCTTGAGATGCTACAAAGAGTTTCATTACCATAAAACATTATTAGAACTAAAATCATAGAATAACATTATCACACAAATTGGTAACAGAGGAAACATACTAGATGGATTTGCCAGAGGTGCTCTCTGTAATTGATGTTGCTGGTTCTGTTGGTCTGTTAAGTTTTGGGTTTGGCGCAACGAACTTCCTTCTTGAAACCGATTGGTATTGTTCTGTACAGAATCAAAATGTTGCTGTGAGCTTCTATTCTGAGGCAGCTGCTGCATGGGATGTTGCGCTCGGTATTGTTGTGACATCATTGGTTGAGATTGTCCTACTTGTTGACCTCGAGGCATATTTTGCTGCTGTTGTAAGGGCAAGGCTGAAGCATTATTAAGGCGTTGCGGGTGCATATTTTGGAGGTTATTGTTCTGTTGAGACGATGATACCCGAAAAGATCCTTGTTGCGCTCCGTTGTTTTGTCGTGATGTTGGATGATTCTGCTGAACATTCATCAGTTGACTAATGAGTTGCTCTTGTTCTTGTCGTTTCTGTTCCTGGGACGGCAGAACCATCTGTTGTTGATGACTAGAACTGACCCGCTGTGTCGGAAACTGATGTCTAGGCAGTGATTGAGAGTTTTGTTGCATAGAAGTTTGCTGGCTTGATGATGATAAACAAGATTGAGGGATGGACTGCTGAATAGGTTGTTTTAACAGACTTTGCGGATGATGCTGCTGCTGCGGTGGCTGAACTTGTTGCTGAATGTGCGAAGGTCGCAAATTCCCATGTTGGATTTGATTCATTTGATGCTGTTGCTGCTGAGGAAGAAGCTGTTGCCTTCCCTGCATTTGTCTTTGAGAACCGGGAAGAATATTTATCTGAACGCCTTCACCAACGTGAATGTTCACGTTTTGAGCGCCTGAAACGGTTATAGGGGCCTGACTTGGCAAACCAGAAGACCCAGGAATGTTGAGATTGCTCTGGGTGTTTTGTGGTAACCATTGTTGGCTTGTTGGAGTCTGCGTATATGGCAACGAGGCGGGAAGTGATTGCGCTTGATTCATAACTACTTGAGCTGCTATTCAGATAAACACAGAAGGAAAACGTTAGTAAGTAATTTTATTAAGCTAAAATTGTATACAAGTTTTAATCCAAAGCTAAAACATATCATTTTGAAACCAAAACTTATTACCTGAAGCTCGAGTATTGGTTCTATTGACAGAAGAACCCATTTTCCCATTGTAAGTTTTCTCTATATATTGCAGCTTTTCACTGAGTTTCCGAATGTAATCATGCTGAGACATAGCAAGGGGCAAAGTAGTTAGATATCAAATTCAGATTCTCAAGGTAAAAGAAGGTAACCATTTGTATTTTAGCACCTTATCGTTGGCTATGCTATAAAACTTCTCCTCAAATTTGGAAGCAATGTCTATAATCTTATATTCTTCATGCGTAGGACAATATTCCTTCAACTTTTCCACTCTGCACATACATGAGAAAAAATATCAGTGACAGTTTGAATAATTCGACTAAAATCCGTACCTACTATGAGAACATTCAAGTCCCTGAGCTAGACACCTTAGATAATGATTGCGCTAAACATGATAACACGTTGAAGGTTTGGTTATAACTGATATTCTAGAGGAAGTGTTGCACTAAGCATACAAAACAGAGAAAATAAACCCTAGTTAGTTTCGGAACTTACGATACATGATGTCAATCCTTTTGTGAAACAATTGTATACATATGTGCCAAACAACACCAATAGAAGCGAGAGTAAACAAGATTCTCCTAGTGAGAAAGAGCCTACATGCAGCTAATGAGGTTAAAGAATATGCAAAACTTAAAAACAGCGAAAGGTTGAAGTTAGGTTATGTCACATTAATAAGGAAGTATAATAAACATTTATGCACAACTCTTATGCTTTAACTGTTGCAATATTTACTGGTGTAATGTAGGAATCTTTATCATGTGCAAGCTACAAGATCACATCGAAAGCATGACCAAGAAAACCTCCTTTCTCTCTTTCATAAATGTCAATAATCAAATAAGAACAATAAGTCCAACAAAAGAAACATGAAAATAATATAACTGAAACTCTTGAAAGAATGACTTACATTTTTGAAAGAACCTTTTTCCGTAATTCAGGCTCATGTTGTGATCTCCAATCAATAGCATTATTCGCAGCGGAGTCTCCGCCTTGTTCATTAGGCTTCCAGTTAGTATTTCCCTCCATTAAGATGTATGGACTTTGGCCAAGAACTCCTTTGATTAACCTTAACAAACAAACAAAAACGATCAGAGAAATTCCTCAACTGGAAACACAGAAAACACATTATGAGGACAAGAAAACGACAAAACGAGTAAATTTCAACTTGTTAGTATTCAAAAATCATAGACAAATATATAAAATCGAATTATCTAGCACTCAAACAAATACATTGGAGTTGTTAATACTGCAATTAACCAATATAAGCCCTCATAATGCCCTAAAAAAAACAATGTGGCGGTTTGGTTCTGTAACGATATTAAAACCTAAGTGGCATAAAACCTTTGATATCGTGATACCATGTTTGTGTAAGAAAACTTTAAACGATCAATTTCTGAGAAGAATTAGACCAAAATCGAAACAGAGATCACCTTAACCGCAAACACGATCACACATATAATTTTGATCAACGATAAATCGCACACAACCAAAATCCAGAATCCGAAACCCTAAATAATTTCGACAGAGACTAGAAGAGACTCACAGATCGCCGAAGGAAGATCGAGAAATTGAGGAAGCAAGAATCGAGAATTGAAGGATTCAGAGGAGAAGAAGAGGAAACCTAAACGCTAAAAAGGAAAAAGAGCGGACAAATTGAAGAAGACTACACGTAGGAAGACTTACAAATCATATAATATATATTTAGTCTTTACTTTTTCTTTACTAAAATCGAATCAGTATTACCGACTTTTGGGAATATATTTGAAGCGTGAAACGTGTAAAACTGTCACTGATGTTATAGGAATAAATCTGTGAATTTTCTGATGTTATAAAAGTTTGAGATTGGACTTGGGCAACTAAGCAGTATGCAATTACATCTTTATTTTTAATATACAGTAAAATTTCTATAAATCAATAATGTCGGGACCATGAAATTCTATTAATTTATAGAGGTATTAATTTATCGATAAATTTATTAATTTATAAAGATATGTGAAATTGTTAAAAATACTCCTTTTGGTGTGTCCCTTTTCAAAAATGCCCCTTTTAGATGTTCATTTTCAAAAATGCCCCTTTTTAAATCTGAAATTTTTATAAAGGTTTATTAGGTTTATAAGGTACTTATGGATTGTAACTACTACTTGAAGACTCGATCCTAGTATTTATAAAGTTTTATAAGGTGTTTTTAAAGGTTTACAAGTTATTTTAAAGGATTTTTAAGGTTTTTCAAAGGTTTTACAAGATATTTTAAAGGTTTTTAAAGGTATGTAAAATGCATTTATAAGGTATTTATAAAGTATTTATAAGATTTTAGATACATAGAAATGTAGTTTGTGTATGTTTTAATAATATTACATATATATTTGGGTAAATTTTATATTTTTAAGAACATTTTTATAAGGTTTTAAAAAGGGGTATTTTTGAAAAGTGGCATTGAAAAAGTGGCATTTTTGCAAAAGTCCCTAAAGATATTTGGTTAATTTTATAAATACTGAAAATAATTGTCTAAAAAAACAGTTATAATCAATATCTTTTTTAAACCAGTTACAAGTTAAAAACACTAATTATGTATAAAAAATAACACAAAAAATTTCAGATGCAATTAAAATATTAAAAATGAACTCTACCAAGAACTAATGTAAATTTAAAAAAAAAATAAGGGAGACTCACAAAAATGCCCCTTTTTCAATACCCCTTTTCAAAAATGCCCCCTATGGATGTCCATTTTTAAAAATACCCCTTTTATGTACAAAATGACTAAATTACCCTTCTTTTAATAAAAGATATCATAAATATATAAGGAAATATAACAAAATTAGGTCCACAAAATACAAAATACTTTTTGGCGGGAAAAGTGATCCCCCAATTTTTCCCGCCAAAACACTTGTAAAAATTTGTAAAACCTTTAAAATACCTTGTAAAATTTTCCCGTAAAATTTTTTCCCGCCAAAAAATTTTTTTTGCGGGAAAAGTGATTCCGCAATTTTTTTGGCGTTAAATTTTTGGCGGGAAAAATTTTCCCGCCAAAAATTTACAAGGTATTTTAAAGGTTTTTTACAAGGTATTTATAAGGTTTTACAATGTATTTTAAAAGGTTTTACAACGTATTTATAAGGTATTTATAAGATATTATAAGATTTTACAAGCTATTTTATAAGGTTTTTACAAGTTATAAGGTTTTACAAGTTTTTTATAAGGTTTTACAAGTTAGAAATACCTTATAAAACCTTAAAAGTACCTTGTAAAACCTTTTAAAATACATTGTAAAACCTTACAAAACACTTGTAAATACCTTGGAAAACAGCTAGAATATTCCTTGTAAATTTTTCCCGCCAAAAAATTTTCCCGCCAAAAAAATTTCGCAAAAAAAATTACGGAATCACTTTTCCCGCAAAAAATTTTTTTGGCGGGAAAATTTTTTGGCGGGAAAAATTTTTACGGGAAAATTTTACAAGGTTTTTTAAAGGTTTTTACAAGTGTTTTGGCGAGAAAATTGCGGGATCACTTTTCCCGCCAAAAAATATTTTGTATTTTGTGGACCTAATTTTGTTTCAAATAAGGGTAAAATAGTCATTAAAAATTAAAAGAGGGCAAACTTAAAAATGGACTCTCAAAGGGGGCATTTTTGAAAAGGGGTATTGAAAAAGGGGCATTTTTAACAATTTCTCAAAAAATAATAATACTAGAGTCATATTTCCTAATTTCTTATAATATATTGAAAATTTTATATAATTATTAATTTATTATATTGATTGGACCATATGTTTACATAAGATTTTTGAAAAATTTATTATCTTATTATTTTATTGATTTGTCTCACTTTTGACTTTTTACACTGGTCCCAACTCAAAACCAGAAAATTTATTAATATAGAGGTTAATTATTTATCAAGTATTAATTTATAGAGGTTTTATTGTATTTTGGAAATAAAATAGTTATGACTTTGAATAAGAATAAACGAGGTTGAATGTAGTTTGACCAAGAAGTTAAGACCATCACCAATGGTAAGAACCTATGAAGGGTATTTAGCAATTTTTTTCTTTTAAATTTTGGATATTTCAAAGTTTAGAAACTCTTGAAGAGTTCTTAAGATATACATTCTCCAATGGTAGAACCAATGAGGGGTTCTTAAAAAAAAAATTCTGGGTTTTAAAGTTATAACTTTTAACTTTTAAGTGTATGTAATTTGTTGTATTGGGACAAAGTAATTGGTTTAGAACCTAACACAGACTCAACCCTCTCCAATGCTTCCTCATATTTACCATTCCTACATCATATTAGATACATATCAATGCTCACATTCTGGTTCCCAAAAACCCTTACTTGAACACCAAAATCAGATGTATCTGAGTTCCGAAGCAACAAAAAAAGAAGAAAGCAGAGGAAGAAGAGATTGAGAAGGAGAAGAAAGAAGAAGGCGCTGCAACTGTACTTGCGGAAGCAAAATTAAAAGAGCAGCCCTGTCGATCTGAGTATCAGCAACCTCATGGATAACTCCTCAGAGATAAAGACATGGATAACTGCTCGGAGCTAAAGACATGGTGAGACCTGCTCGCCATCGGAGAGACACGAGCAAGAGAGAGGCGATAGATAAATGAAAAACACAGTGATGATTTTTTTTTATCATAATATCCTCACCCAACCAGATGATTACACGTATGGGGTTCTTAACATTTCTAAATCTCTTATTTAAGGATTGGTTCTTACTGTAATTTGGCTTTTAGATTATTATTTTTTTGCTTTTTATGTTAAGAACCCAATCTAAGAACTCCTTAAGAGCCTCCATTGGAGATGCTTTAAGAGCCGGGGCCTCTCAAAAATTTCAGAGAGAGAATTTAATTCTTCCGTCGTCCGGTGAATCCGGCAAAGCCGTCTGGTTGTTAAATCGGCTTCAATCTAACATCCTCCAGCTACTATAGCCGTGATTGGTTGGCTTTTCACTGGCGTCGTTGGCTCCCTCAGCAACGTCAACCAGTTTTCTCTCCGTCAACGATGGCTCTGTAGCATCGTTGGGTTGGCTGTTGTCTCCGAAATGTGTCGGCTTTCTATGCGATGATGTCCGGTTTGGTTTTTTGTAATTCCGATGTTGTCTTTTCGGTGGTTTCAGCCAGTTTTGTGCAGGTGTTAGATTATGTTTCTTTGTTTATGTTTACTTTTAATAATTTTCATTGAGATGTGTTGGTGATAACTGTGATAGCAATCTCGATTTCTATTGCTTTTTATCCAATCCGCTCTCTTTTGAGTTTCGATTTATAGAAATATATATAGAGATTTGAGTTTTAATTTGAAGAAAAGAAGTGGATTATGTCGCTTAGTATCATTGCTTTAAGCTATTTGTTTCTTAATTGGAGCTTCGGTTGCTTTTTCACCAGTGAAAATCAAAAGAATCTATGTTGATAGTATTATCGGTGGTGATTCCGTCACTAGAATCGATGCTCGGACGGCAAAAGATGAAGTCGGCTCACTTTTAGACTTCACATCTAACACGTATATTGGCTTTTCTCGAATTGACGATGCATGGTTTGAGATAGAGACAAATTCTAGTTTTGAGATAGAGACAAATTCTAGTTTCATCTTCTATAGGAAATCTCTATGGGCCTATTTGGGTCTAAATCATTTCGGTAATCATTCACTTTGAATGCTTTTCTTTAGGCCTTGTATGGTTTGATATGTTTAATACAATATTTCTCTTGTGAAAAAAAGAAAGAATGTGGTTTGACCCATGAAAAGTTTGGGTAAAATTTAATCGGTTCGTACGTAACAGATGTACGGAATAATCGGGAGAATCAACATTTCATTAGTCTAAAGATTTCGGTTTATGTTCCGAATTACAATGGATTAATATCAGAAATAGTTGAAGAACAATTTTGTTAGTCGTTGATCACCCGTTAGCTAGAAAAATTCATTTCGATGTTGGTGAAAGGGGGTGAGAATTTAGATTTACATTTTTATTATCGTGTCGTGTCTGTCGTTGTTCACGCTTTTTATTTATTCTTTTAACCCTAATCACAATTGGATTTGGCTTCATCTGTCGGTTTTCCTTCCTAGTTCTCTTTGACTTAGGTGGTTATGTCGGCCCTATTGTATGTACTGCTTTTATCACCTTCTGTTTAACCCGGCTAAACCAAAAATATATCAATTACACATTAAAAGATCCAAGAGCCGTAAGCTCGAAAAATTCTACACCAAAGAGAAAAAGAGGATCGACTCGAATCTCAGAAGATAACTCGAGAATCCATAGTATATGAAATTATTGAAGATTCTCACGAGAAAAGTGAGGAAGCAAGCCAAATTCTCAAACAAGAACCCTATGGTATAAATAGGAAGATATGCCATGGAACAAAGGATCCCCAATTTTGGCTTTGAAGAACCCTAGATTTGGTTACCTTCGAAAAAACACTAATTTTTTCTTCAAACTAGTTAGAAACTTCTTGTAATAATAGATTTCAATTCTAGAGATTAATAAAAAAAAACTTGTTCTTCCCCTTCTCGTTTAATTACCAGTTTATCCTGTTGAGATTTACACACACAATTTTGGCGTCGTCTGTGAGGACTTCAACAAAAAAAGTACCTTCTAAACACCATAACATCGACCAAACTCGACGATGACAAGGTAAAAGCTTCAAGATAAGAGGGAAGAGAAGACAGATCTGAGCTACCTCCTTGTGATGTGATTTACCAGTGAAGTCCTACGAATAAGATGACGATCAACCTATCCACGGATTGCCCCAAAAATCAAATTTTCAGAAAACCCGACCTTATCTCAATCAGAGTTGTCTGCTGGGAGATATCATTGATTGTTTGTAGCAGGTGTAATGTGTCTAAACCCTAAACCGCATATCTGCGCTGTCAGAATAGTCGGCATAGAAAGCAGTTTCCCAACGATCCGAAAGGAACCAGAAGCCGATTTTCATATCAATGTAAGCCCTCGGGGCTTATCTCTCCAAAAAAGACTGACCCTTATCTCTATTGCCGACCTCATCCGAGCGTTATCACAGCATCTCTGCATCTACTACTAGATAAGTGACATTAACCATCATATTGTTGAATTCAATCAATAAACAAAGCTTTATTGGGACTAATCTTTTACTTCATTAGCTTTATTTTCATAAGTGATATCATCATATAAATCATATTTATCATCTAACGATAATATGATATTTCAAGACCTAGATTCCATCATATAATTTTTATCGTTGATATATATTTGGTTAAATACGTTGTTGATTCACTATATAGACTTATGCATGTTTATATCGCCAACCATTCGCCTACA